TCGCGCCCAAGACACTTATAGCGGCGAATTTCATGTCCACGTTCTCCTTCTCGGTAAACGGCTTCAGGGCCATCACCACTCGTGGGCTGATAGGTGTTTTGAATTGAACCGACAATAGTACCGAAAGGTTGCGCAACGATTCGAGCACCACTTCATCGCCCTCTTCGTCACTAGCCGGCTCCTCCAGTCCGTCGAGTAGGTGTCCATGCAGTTATCAAAATATACGTCAATCTGGAAGAACCGATAACTCGTCGTTACGCTACAGAACGCAGGACGAGCAAGGAACAGGATACATTACCAACTTTTGGTCTACGTAGGCTATCCTAGAAAGCCCGGTGGTAGCGAGAGTACGCACTAAGGAAAAAGTGCTTCGAAAATTGGTTCAAACGCATGTAAAAGTATATTGATCATCATGGAGAATATTTTGAAAAACAATAAAACCAATTTCGATCACAAATATTTGTTTTTTCATTATTAGGCCAGAAATATAAGTAGCAACCCATGTACCGGACAAACTTATCGATGGAATTAACAATACTAAAGACGGTCGTCACTCCTGGCTGGCTCCGATACTCCCTAGACAGGTGAATAGAAATAAATCAAATTTCACATAAAAAATATTGTGCAAGCGTATTTTGTACATGCTCTCATTTGCATAAAAGATGCTTGGATTGCAAAACATATATTAAAAATTTCTTTTGGGCGACAACATTCAACACACGTCCTTCGTTCGCGCTTTCGTCCGCGATAACGTTATCTTGCTGATGTCAAGTAATTTGTTGATGCCAACTAAGCTCGTTTCTTCTAATTACCTTGACACTAATCGATCGGTACATCTTTTCAAAATTCAGTTTCAACGCTTCATTCTTCAAAAAAATATAAAAAATAAATAAAAAATATATAAAAAGTCACAGCTGAACATTCGATCGATGCGAACACGGTACATTTTGATTGTTTTACTAAAATGTAATTCACTCGAAGAATTATTATTATTTTTTAACTTGGTCAAGGCAATTAAATATACCATTAAAGTATCAATGACATTAGCAGAAAAGCGTTTTGTTTTTCTTCATTTTTTGAGAAATTAAACAAAATCAAAGAAGGAGGAAAATCAATAGTTTCCTCATTGCAGTCGAATATATGAAACATAATATTTTTGATCTTCTCATTAATCATAGTTGTCAACAAGGATGTTTATTTCTCCGAATTTTACTTCGGCAAGACGACGTGTGATAATAATAATAATACAGATGCTGCGAATCTAATTAATTGGACACAAATGTCTAAAAGTGAAAAAAGTGAAGTGCGATAAACTGTTGCGCAACATTTCACGAATGAAGCGTTGAAACTATATCTTGAAAAGATGTACCGATCGATAAGTGTCGAGGTAATTAGAAGAAACAAGCTTAGTTGGCATCAACAAGTTAGTGACATCAGTGTGTGTGAGATAGCTGAGGCCAATAACGTTATTGCAAGATAATAAAAAATCGTTGCTCAGCAAGATAACGTTATTGCGGACGAAAGCGCGAACGAAGAACGAGGTATGTTGAATGTTGTGATCTAAATGAAATTTTTAATATATATTTTGCAATCTAAGCATTTTTTATGCATTATACAAATGAAAACATGTGCAAAATACGTTTGCACAATATTCCCATTAGATAGTCCACTGAATATATATTAGTTCTGCTTAGTTAAATCTTAAATTAGATCTCTTTCTGTGAGCCGGTAGTTTGGCATTCAAGAACTGCTGAAAGAAAGCAAAAATGTCTCTCATTGAATTACGTACGCACAAGCTCGGCAACTCAACGATTCCTCACCGATTGGTGAACTTGAAGCTTAGAGGAAACTTCAGCGATAGCATCGTAACGTGACGATTAACCCTTTGCACTCGAGGCCTTTTTCGCTCGCGCGAACCAGCAACTCGAGACGATTTCGGCTAAATTAGAGAAGCATTTTACAAGTACTTTAAAATCATTTATACTCAAACAAACGTATACAAATAATAAAATTTCACCAATTCATTAATTTTTATATTGAATACAACAAAATTTGATAAATACGAGGGCAAGGTGAAAAGTTCTCGGCCTGACAATGAAAGACTGTGATTTTCAGTTAAAAAGCGATTTTATTTTTCTACATAATCTCCCTTGACTTCAACACACTTGGTCCAGCGTTTCTCCAACATCAGTATTCCTTCCCGGAAGTGAGATTCTGGAAGACTGTTAAAATATTCATCTACGGCCCTCTCAACTTCTTCATTGGACGCGAAGCGCTTTCCAGAAACAAATTTCCTCAGGTTTGGAAAGAGATGGAAGTCCAAGGGTGCCAAATCAGGAGAATAGGGGGGATGGCCGAGCAAATCGTACCTCAAATCTCACAGTTTTCCCATTGCCAACACACTTTTGTGTGCAGGTGCGTTCAGCAAATGCGGCACCCATCTTGCACAGAGCTTTCGCATACTTAATTCTTCGTGCAAGATGTTTCGCATCCTTTCTTCCGATATGCCCACGGCCTCAGCTATCTCACACACCTTTACTCGCCTATCGTCCAACACGATATTGTGCACCTTTTCGATAGTTTCCGATGTGGTTGCAGTTTTTGGCCGTCCTTCACGTGGGTCATCTTCGAGCGACGTGCGACCACGTTTAAATTCAGCTGCCCACTTTTTAACGGTTGAGATTGAAGGAGCAGAGTTCCCGTAAACTTTTGTCAACTTCGGATGAATTTCCTTAGGGGTTAACCCATCCAAAACGAAGAATTTTATGGCCGCACGATATTCAAATTTATCCATTTTAACGAAACACGCGCAAGACGTGTACTGCAAAGACTCGTTTACACAAACTACTTGAGCGAATAAGTTAACGTATTGCACTCTGTAATTAGTTTTCGTGTGATATTTCGTAAAACAATGCTCAAGATGCATCCTAGGTTTATCTGGACACGTATCACAATAATATGTTACTTCCCGTCTACCGCCANGGTCAGAGCAAACCTTGCAGTCCCTTTTTGGCCCTTTTAGTACTATGTGAAGCTTCCCATTTAGTTGGGTTTCATCGGTATGCAACGTCGACGCTTGCTCACGATGCTGGTGATATGATCCTTTCAATTGCTCGACAAGTGTAGTCCACGAAAGTATTTAAAATAAAAATATAATCGCACATCGTAAATAAACAGATCGAGTTATAAAACACCGTGGTGCCGTATCGGCGCCGCTCGAGTGCAAAGGGTTAAGAGAGAAGAGCCGCGAGATGAAATTTTTCAAATATTGCGTCGCGTCGCCCACGGCTGACAAGTTGCCGAACGTATTGGACGCCTTCGAAGACGCGGAGCCGCGAACATCGGAAGTCTACGTAAGTTTTAGAAACAAGAGACACGTCTCCTGGTCGGAGAATAAATCGCACTCAGTGAAGAATTTTGCGTAAAAATGACGGTATGCTGAAATGTTTGCGTTACTTTTACATTTGTTTTACTTCGTACATTTCACATTTTTCATTATTTTTACATTTGTTTTACATTCTTACCACGGGAATATACAAAAAAATGTACACGAATATATGTTAAATTGACATTATATTCACTTTGTTAACATATTCACCTCGTTAAGGTAACGAAGAAATTTCCGTCAACTGTTATTGGCGCAAAATTTTTTACTCTGCATCCCTGAAGAACCTTCTTAGGAGCGAAGAGGTTCATCTTCCCTTTCTACGCAGCTCGATAAAAATTTGAACGACGTACCTTGTGCTATGACGAAGGATTCCACCAACCATAACGGGAACTGCAGCACCTCTAGAGACACCTCTAGAGACTTTAGAGACAATTTGGTGTGGTTGAGGAACTGCGAGCAGGAAGTGGTCGAACCGCTCGCCGGCGAGCTCACCGGCAACATTCCCAAGTGGTTGAAAGGCACTCTGTTGAGAAACGGGTTGGGTAGTCTGAAAGTGGGCGAACACACCTTTCAGCATCTGTTCGACGGCTCCGCTCTGGTGCACAGGTGCGTCACGAGAATCCATATCCAGAGAACAAGATTTCTTTCGATTTGGTAAAATTTCATTAATTCAAACAAACTTGTCTTTTGGAACGGTGCGAACAAACGAATGTTTGGCTCGACGTATTATTTGGTTTCTCAAGTAAAACAAATCTCATGGTTTACTCGAATGAAATAACGACGCACGTTCGCTCGAACGAAATCGAGAGAAACGGAGAATAACTCACCGAGTTTTCATCCGCTTGATAATGCGCAGGTTTCGGATCGAGAACGGAGAGGTGACTTATCAGAGCCGGTTCGTGCAGAGCGACGCGTACAAGGAGAACAAGGCCGCTCAGAGGATAGTCTTCACCGAGTTCGGCACGAAATCGATGCCGGATCCTTGCCGGAGCATCTTTCACAGGTGAAAGTCACTCGACAAAATCCACCGAAAATTGATCACATTGGTCTGATGAAACTCGCTCGGTGCTCAGACTAGTCCTTCGCGAAAGCATTATCTCCAAATAACGTTCGCTCACCTCGATGTGACTTCGCAGAGTGTCTTCGATGTTCAGTCAAGAGGAACTGACGGACAACACCATGGTCTCGGTGTATCCGTTCGGTGACGAGTTTTACACGATCACAGAGATGCCGGTGATGCACAGGATCGACCCGACTACTCTGCAAACGATAAACAAAGTAAAATCGCAAATCAGTCAACGCTCGAATATTTGTTCGCGAAATTTCGCACTCATCGTATTATTTCATATTTCGCGCGATCCTTATTATTGTATCCTTATTATTGTATCCTGAAGGGTGTTGATCTTTTCTTTCATCGATTCCTACTGCACGTGATAAGTTCGATTAACTGTAACAATGTCTTCCCACCGCTCTGCGCAGGTAAAGCTGACAGATTATATTAATATCGTGCACCACACCGCGCATCCTCTCGTGATGAGCGACGGTACGGTTTACAACATAGGAATGGGCATAAGGCGGCGAAAGCTTCAATATAACGTCGTATGCTTTTATCCTCGCCGCGAGATCACCGGTAAGACGTTTCCTTCTTTAGGTTTCGAACAAATCTGACGGATCAGACACTTATACAGATCAAACGGTCGGATCAGATTGACACGAAAGTCCATATTCTCTGAATTCTTTGATCGCTTTGAAAGTGCTTTAAATGTAGCTTCTCAGCCAATCAGGTGGCTTCTATGGCACTTTTAAAGGCACTTTTATCGATAAAAGTGAGTTCAGAATACAGACCGAAGTGACAGATCAGACTGTCGCAGTAGCGGTATTAATCCGTCAATTGATCCGAATTACGATATCCGCGTAGACAAGGCGGGAAACAAGAAGGAGCTCTCCATGTTCGATCAAGCGACGTACGTTGCCAGCATTCCGTGCAGGCGGCAGCTGAACCCCTCGTATATGCATTCGTTCGGCATCACCGACAATTACTTTATCATCGTAGTACAACCTCTGACACTCTCCATATCTAAGATGATGATAAAACGTCAGCCGCCAGTCAGTTCCCTGAAATGGCACAAAAATAAGAGTGTAAGCTTACTGGTGAAACGAAACCAGTTGCAATAATCAAGCTAATAATTAATCATAATTTTATGCCGCTCCCATCAGACGCTGATTCACGTAATATCGCGGGGCACGGGCCGCCTCGTAAGGACCTTCGTTTCGGAGACGTTCTTCTTCTTCCATATCATCAATCAATTCGAGACCCGCGACGAACAGTACGTCGTGCTGGATATATGCTGTTACCGGGACTCGAAGCTGATAGAACATCTGTACGTCGAATCGGTGAAGGTACGCTCCCATCGCACGAAGCGCGACATAAGTGCACAATCCGAAGGCAAATCGTTCTTATTTTCTTACATAGGCTTTTGATTTACACGATCTCCCCAATGAACCAACGCAATCTTCCTTCTCTGTTTCCCTTCAAATTGATCATTACATTTACATTATGCTGGGAATTTCACGAGATATCTAACGCAACCTCGATAATCTCAATTGCGAGTTGCAGAATTTAAAGGAGATTCCCGATTTGAAGAAACTGTTGGGCGGCAAACCGTTGCGCTTCGTATTGCCGATGAAGCGGACGCACGCTGGCATACCGCCGGATCACAACCTCATCACGGTTGAAACGGTGCATCAGAACCTGGTGAAGCAGTTGGTCCCGAACGTGGTCGATCACATCGCGAATGGGACCAACTGCAATGTTGTCACCGATTGCAAGGTCGATTGTAAAAACGCTCTGCAGAGAAAGCCGACCGCTCATCGGCTTTCGGACGGTAGTTTCTTCGTGAAGCCGGAGCTCCTCTGCGACCTGTGGTGCGAGATGCCGCGGATAAACGACAGCTCTCACCTCGGCAAGGAGTATCGCTATTTCTACGCGATTTCTTATGACACGGATTTCAATAATGCTACAACAGTCAGTACAATATAATACTAATAAAATGCAAATGTCCCGCATATGTAACAATAATTTGTACGTAATAATAATTTATCATCATTATCAGGGTTGAGTAATAATTAATTGCTCAATCCTGTTATTTATTACTCAGTTGAAAGTTAAGTTAAAAAGATACAGAATTAATAACTTTCGACTTAAACTAGTTAATTATAAAAGAATTAATTTTTAATTCAAATTCATTAATTTAAAATGCATTCACTTTAATTAATTGACATTTTTTATGTATAAATTAAAGTAATTCGTCAATGTTAAAATCATTGCCCCGGACTGCTTACAACGTAAAATAAGAAAAGTCAGTAGTAATGCCAGCGAAATTTTTGGCCTCTTTGCTAACGCTAACGTTCTTATCTTGCGTGGAATCTTCAGCACGAAACATTCGGTATTTTCATATCGTAGACTACTTTTTCTTTATTCAGCATAAATTTAATTTACGACTGAAAGTTAATTATGCAAAAAGGCTTATATATACGTACAGGGATTTGTATAATTAACTTTCAATTAGATTAGTTTTGGTTTAGGTAATTTTCAACCGGACTAAATTAATTTTACAAGCCAGTAGCTTAACTTTACTTAATTAAAAATAAAAATTAACTTACCTAATCGTGCGACCGGCGCTGAAATATTTTATTAATTTTCATATGAAACGTAAATATATGTAATATCTTTTCCTTCTACTGACACACGACAGACGCAAAATATATCAAATATACAAAATGTATAAAATAAATATAATTAATGCACAATATAAAATAGAACAACTGAATTCTCCAAAACGAATTCTGTTTGCAGATCATCAAGGTGGACACTTATCAGAAGACCGTTAAAACGTGGCAGGAGGAGGACGTTATCGCCAACGAACCGATTTTCGTGGCGAATCCCAACGGGAAGGTAACGATCGTGTTACTTGCAGTATATAATCGAAATTTGTACTGTTTAACCCGTTTTTTTCGTGACACCGAAACATCTCACGAGTACTTTTCATGCTATTTTCCCCCGACCAGAACGAGGACGACGGCGTCGTGGTGAGCTCGCTCATCTGGATGAAGAACTACGAGAATCGAGTCGCTTTATTGATCTTGGACGCCGCGACATTCACGGAGATCGCGAGAGCTACTTTCGATACACCAGGACCAGTGCCTAAATGTCTGCACGGTTGGTTCAGCCTGGACAAGCAAATATCAGTAGATACAATAGAGTGATCTTATCGTCGAAATGATAGCTCCATTGTATCTACTAATATCTCCTTTCCATTCCTACTTCAATAAAGTCACGTATCGATCGCTATATATAAACAAAACCGTCGTCGCTCCTTAAGGACTCCTAAGAGGACAAAATATACAGTATCACATATGTTGTTGAATGCGTAAACGTAATAAATTATTTAATGTCTTTTTCCTCACGACGTGCGGCGGTATATTTACATTCGACGCGGACGCGCGCGGCGTCGTACACAGTTCTGACGTAAATAAATATACAATATATCTAGCTTGCGATGAAAATCTAGTCCTGTGGAATGTAAAATATATGTATGCTTCGAACGTAACCGACGACTCTCGCTCGTCAACACGGTGGAGCGTAATATGAAAACGACGGTAGCTGCTCTGGGCTTACCGGGCCGATGCAGGGCCCGCCAACATCGTCTCTCCCGATGGCTCAACGAACTTATTAGAATAATAAATTGCGATAATGATTTTTCCGTCCAACTTTCTAACTGTTATATCTATAGTGTATCTCGCGAGTCAAGCAAGAAGGTACTCTTCGTTTTTTCGTCGCTCACTCCAGTCGTTTCAATCGCCGAGTCCAGCGAGAAATGAATAATCGAATCGACGTAGGGACAACATCGGAATTACATCGAATCGACACGTCGATCTCTCGCCGGTACGTGAGTACGTTCAAGGATGCCCTGGATAATAATTTCCTACTCCCGGCCGAGGACTTACGGGGGATTCCGCGCCGAGAAATGCGCTGCTTAAAATCAATGCTCACCGGAGGGGTCGTTCTCGAGAAAATGTGGATTGACAGACAGAGAGAGAGAGAGAGAGAGAGAGAGGACGTTATTCCTCTCACCTTCGCTTCCGAATAACTCGAAGTATCGCGTGGAACGACGGGAGAGAGGGGGGGGGGGGGGGNGGAGGGATCCTCCGCGCTTCCTCACTAAATTCGCGATCTCTAACGTCGGTGATAATTGCCTCGCGCACTTAAATATATAATAATTAACGATCACATTAATAAATAATAGTGTGGCACAACCATAGCAAGAGGATTACCTAGCTAAAGGAGCATTGGCGCAGAAGTAAACCTAAACGATCAGCCTGAGTGACGCGTGAGTGAGACGCGTCTCTCGCGTCTGCGTCGCCGCTTTTGGCACTTCGAGTTATACTTTCGTTCCGCCGGAAGCCGCGCGATCTCATCAACATCGACTTATAGTTACGGCTTATATAGTAGTAGTAGTAATAATAGTAGACTCGTGTCTCACAGCATCTTTTCGTGAAAAACGCGCGAGTCTCACCCGCGGGTCTCCTCGCGCGCGTACGCGCCGATCCTCGCGCGGCTCGCAGTCGCTCCAGCTCGTTCAGAGGGTACAGCTTGGTTGAGAACTTGGACGCCTTCGTTCTCCGAAATGTAAAATCACTATCCCGAGCATATCTATATTGTAGTTGCTCGACGTGCTGATGTATACACACATACGTATGCACATTGCCTTATCAAATGTAAGGAAGCCTACTGGTCTCGACGCAACGTAATAAACGTACCCGACGGTGCGCGCGCGGATATCGCGGATATTACTTAATATCAATCGTCGCACGATCACCGTTAGAACCGAATAGGAAAAATTCCGGGAGAGTCGCGCCGCGACTATAATACTATATACACTATACGTGCGCACACTCGCGTCTCTCCGTGGGCGTTAACTTCTGTTCTCACCTTAGACTTAAGTACGAGAGGAGTGTTTGAGTATGTTGTTAGCTGTCGTCGCGCGTCCGCTCGCGAATCGAGCGGAAGGAGGGGGAAAGGGAAATTGGTGAAACACACGGCTCTCGCATTTTTGTTCGGGGCCACGTCGCAGGAGCAACGGGCTATCACAATATATGTTTCCGTCTCAGCTCCTTCAGACTTTCTCCACCTTCTCGCTGTCCACGGAATTGATGGTGATGATCGTGTTGACGTTCTTGCCGTTCTCCGTGTCCGTCTCGCTCTTCGCCAGGCTGGAGTCCGACACACCGATGTGCGACTCGCAGTGCATCGGCAGGATCCCGGCGTTCGCGTCCTCGATGGCTTTCCTCAGCTGCGGAACCGAAAATCCCGCGATATTTTACATTCGATTGCCATTCATATTTGCGTCTCGGTGTATTCATATCTTTCGTGATTACGCATTCGTTTGACTCGGGTTTGTTTAATATAACGGAAATAATACCTCGTATTCAATAAAAACTCGCTCTACTCCAGAGAAGAAATTCGTCTCGATCGAAGAAATTTGATTAAGTCCAAAGGTATGTTTTCCTCCGTGCGTAACATTTGAATATGAATTCAACGTATGGCAATTGTCACGAACGCACCTCCTTTAACGCGACGACGCCGACCAGCCTTCCTATGGCCGTGACGTAAGCGTGGTTCACGCCAACCATGCTGAACAGACTGTGGACTTTCAGCAGAGACGTTCTCTCGACCAGTTGAAACGGCGCCGGGTCGATGTGACATCTCGAGAAATCCACCTCGAGTGCCATCTCGCTCTCCTCCCACCGCTTCTGATCCTCGGCCGACATATCTATCACCCTTTCTCGAGGCTGCTCGAAAACACGAAGGTCATACTTATCACTAGAAGCGGAAGCGGCAGCGACGTTTTCCACTCACCAACTGCACTTTCTTCGAAGTTGCCGGGCTGGGCGCTAACATGGGCGTGTGTGGCGGCACGTTGAGAGCCTCTTGGCTCTCGCGTCTGGTGCCATCGCCGGTGCCTAAATCCGGATCAGGGTCTACGTCTTGTAACGTGGCGGACTTGCGGAAGATTGCTTCGAACGCCAGGCGTATCCTGCGATACAGGCGGTAGATTGAAGAAGAGCAGGATTGGTTAAGCTAATAATGACGTAACTTGCCTGCTTTCTGCGCCTGTGACAGTCGTATAAGGTGTCACGGCCGGACTGACCAGCGGACTAAAGCCCTTCAGAGTGAAGGAATTCGTCTTCTTCAAAATAGACTTCTTCGGCTGCGAGCCGAACACCGGCGAGTGGAAGGTGTGCTGGAAACACATCGAGTTGACGAGATGCGCGAGGAAAAGGAGGCGAAGGAACGCTTCTGCGTGTGTGTGTTTTTTAGGCAACGACACGGATGGCCCCGTGTCGATTGACGTCAATCGGGCGAACGTGACTCACATGATCGCCGCCGTTGTTTGCCGACATCGTTAGATCGTTAACACTCTGCCGCTGCATCTTGAGGATGTCCGGGGCCGGTATGACTTCGAATCGCGAAGGCCTTCTGGTCCTCTCTTGCTCGCGCAGCTGCCGCTCCATTTCCTCGCGCGCCCTTTCCTCCGCTTCCTTGTGCCACTTTTGCGCGACCTGCGGACGATGGAACGATTAAAGACGCGGATGAAAAGGAAACGCCGGCTTACAATAACATAACATCAATGTAAACAGTTTACAATTTCCCGTTCAACGATGTAACTCTTTTCGATGTTCACCGGGACGTGCGGACAGATCTTCACAAGACGAAGCTTACCTGCAATCTTCTCTCACGGCCGATGTGCTTCTCGATGAGCTTGATCAGCTCCAGCCTCTGTATCGAGCCGAGCAGGATCATCGAATCCGGGTTATCCACCAGCGGGAAGCCGCGAAGCTTGCGATTCTCCTTGAGTATGTCCTTCAGCTTTTGATACGAGATACCGTGCCAAATGTACTTCACGTCGCGAACCATGAAGTCCTCCACGTAGACGTTGTACATTCCTACGACGAGGGAGAAAACGAGAAGATGCAGAGTCGTTTACTGTGAAACCACGACTTTCCCGACGCGATATTACCTTGCTGATTAATCCGAACGAGATGCTTTACAATGTAAACGAGATTAGTTAAGGCGTTAAATTAATTGATCTATTGATGATGAAAATTGATTAGAAAGAGCTACCTGAACTGGACGGCAGCAGGTCGGGCAGGTAGGGCAGCTTCTTGATGAGGATTATGCTGTCGTAAATGCTCGGTTGCAGAAGCGCGGCGATCGCGTTGCTGATCAGCACCGCTATCATAATCGGCACAATGTGGGTGATTTGACCGGTCATCTCGAAGATGATGACACTGACGGATATAGTGTGCGTCACCGCGCCGGAGAAGGCGGCCGCGCCCACCGTCGCGTATCCACCTAAAAGTGATGCGACACGAGGGATTAATCGGCCTCTCCTCGATTTAACATTTCTCCGTGTCGAAATTCGTCGTATTTGCTCGACACGGTGTAAATAAAGCGCGATAACAGCATCAACGTGTTTTCTTTCAGATTTCTTCACGAATCTCTCGGTATAATTTTTTTCATCTCTGACACGCGAGACGTTTTCTCCATCCAGGTGTCGTAAATCAACTTTCATCAGGCGCTCAGCCTAATGATGACTGCGATAAGTGAGAAAAAAAAAGAAGCGCGGATATGAGAGGGAGAAATTCGCATTATCTACCTGGTATGATAGGTGTAATTATCCTGCCGTAACGCACACCCGAGGGGAACCAGAGTGCCATAGCTTCGCCCACCGCTCTGCCGAGCGCGGCGCCGATCTTGAAGACGGGAATGAAGATCCCGGACGGTACCGGTACCGTCGAGCTTATGATGGAGAAGATGAACTGAAATCGAAGTCCGCTTTCGTCGGTCTTCTTCGTTTAAGGAGATTGTAGGGCGAAGTGAGTTTGATAAAAATTCGATGAAACTTTTATATATATATATATATATATATATACGTATGTATACGTTAAAATATCGTCTAACTGCCCGTGCAATTGGAGAAAGATCGGCCGTTCGAGAGATATTTGCAATTAAAGTTGACACTTATTACACGTATTAATATGAAAAATAAAAAAAATAATATTATCGTATTTGTAATATTTCGTATACATGTCTATCTCGACTTCGTTTCAAATTCACATTTATTTATTATTCATTATTTAGGCAGTGAAATAAATGTATAGAATAAATTAATGAGCGGTTGCTCTGATGCGCTACTGAGGATACGACATCGGAACCTTACAAAACCCTCCCTGAAGAACGGTCGTTTGAGACGAAGTCTCGCGTAAAGAGAAAGCGGGCCTTACGGTGAATAAGACGAAACTGAGTAGGCCACTGATGACATTGGTGTACGGCGTCGACCAGTGCTTGACGATGTTCATTTCTTCCGCGACGAGGTTGTCCTTCATCCAAGTGAAATTGGTGAACAGTCCGTATACCTGATCGTGTGTGTTCTGATCACCGGCCATGAACTGCCCGAGTCCCAGCGGGAAGGACACGGACGACACCAAAAGCGACACGATGCCGGGGTAGAGGAAGCGGCTGGAGAGAAAAGGGGGAAACGATGATCGTGAAACTACCAGGACCTCGCGAAGGGAGAAGAAGGACTCACTTCTTCTGCAGGAAGTTGTTCATGCTCTTGTTCTTCCGCATGAAGATGACGTATTGGCGATGCAGCCAGACGTAGAAAGCGCCGCCTAATCCGCTGCCGACGCCGATCAGGGCGAAGACGAAGAGCTCCTGCGGGTCGAAGGGGAAGTCCATGGTGAAGTTGGTGGCGAACATCGCGGTGATGGTCTCCTCGCGCTGGAACCAGATCGCCAGCAGGCGGAACATCGTGGCGCCGCACACCGCCGCGAAGAAACCCCGCCAGTAGTTTCTCACCGCGAAGTACACCGTGGTGACCTCGATGCTGAAGAGCACGCCGCCGATCGGCGCCGCGAAGCAGGAGGCGACGCCGACGGCGCAAGCCGCCGCCAACATCTCGCAGTTCCTGCTCTCGTTCTCGTAGATGCCCTGGAAGCTCGTCACCAGTTTCGAGAGGAGGGTCGCGACGATGCTGGCGATGTGCACGAACGGACCCTCCTTGCCGAGCGGCAAACCCGATCCCAGAGTCGCCGTCAAGCCGATCACCTTCGGTTACAACAGAATCTTTTCGTTACTTCACTCCCGCGTTGCGAGAGTTTGTTCCCTCGACAATAATCCTCCCCGGCATCAATACCATCCAGCAAACATCAATTAACAGTAACGCAACATCAGTGTTATATAGTTTCCCACTCAACAACCGTTACGCAAAATTTAGCTCGTTATATTGAATTTATATTATTGAATAGAAAATTATAACACTGACGTCATGTTACTGTTAGTTTGTTACTAATTGGCAATCATTAAAGATCCGATAAAAGTCGTGACTGTTTCACAAATAGTTTCGATCGAAAAATCAATCTGTTGTTTCTTAGATTCGTGTCGGAATTAATCTCTCATCGAAGGCATAGATATACATACTAACGAAATTAGATGCTGGAATAAAGTATAAACAAGTAAAATATGTATTAATGGAATAAAATATAAAAGATAAGAAAAATACAAACAAAATTAAATATATATATGCGATATAAAAATAACAATATATGCTAATCAAGAAATTGTGGCCATGGAAAAAAAAAGTATCCGATAAACGAGACACCAGTCGTTAACGGGTTAAATAGAAGACGCGTCTCATCGCTATCGTGCGGCTTCCTTCTTATCGGCTAACCTTGGCGATCAGGGTACGGAAGGTCAGGTATTCCTTCAAGGCTACACCGCGCAGGATGGTCTTCATCTCCGGGATGCCAGAACCGATACTTTGCGGCGCGACTATGTGCACGAAGCCGGCGCTGAAGAGGATGAGGCACATCGGCAAGGAGACCCAGGCCAGGAACTGGAGGGCCGGATGCGTCGTGAGATCGTGATAGAGCCATATCCTAGCTGGTAAAACGAGACCATGCGCGTGAATGTATAATAACGTTCACATGTAGACTGCCGAAAGAAAAACTGACTGACGATCGAATTATATCAAAGATACGGTAGAGAAATTGGAAATTCGAGATGTACGCATCTTTCATCACGTTTCGTCGCTCCTCCATCGGCCGTGCAGTCAAATTTTCAACGATCAATTTCATCTTCCTCGAATCTTAATGAAACTTTTTTCAGTAATTTATTATAAGGTACGTAAAATTTTCATGAAATTCTTTTCAGAGCAATCAGTATCTTACACGAAACTTCATGAAACTTTAATCAGTAATTAATTATACGAAACTTCATCGGACGCGGTAGTGTCGCGGCATCGGTGACGAGGCACGACGCGTCATTCAACGTGTTAAATCGTGTAACCGCGGCTTCCCGGCGCGTGAATTCTCTTGGCGGGAGCCGCGGGAAGCGGACTGACCGTTGTTGCACATGGAGATGCCGCAGTCCATGGCGTAGCTGATGAAGGCCATGATGATGCCGAGAAGAGCCAAGAAGACCCAGTCCTCGCCCAGCCGGGCACCGGTGTGCTTCCAGGCGAAGGCCAGCAGGGCGAGCAGTTTCCTGCACAGAGGGCCCCGTCTGGACTTCCGCAGCTCCTCGGCCCGTGTCTTGTCATACTTCCGCCTCGCCTTCTCGTGGTACTTGAGTCTCCGTGCCTCTTCCTTCGCGTATTCACCCAGGTCCTTCGTGTAGCGGCCATACATCTGCGCGCAACGACGATCCCGCATTTACTTCGGTTGCTGACGAACGTTCGCGCGCGAACGAGGGAGTTTCTACCGTTGCTGCTTATTCTGGACGTATCGTCAATGATTCTCTTTTCTGAGTGTCAAACTGACACAATGTTATATATACATGAGGTTCCCACGAGCAAAATGGAAATTGCGGTCAAACGATTGCGTTTGAACATTCATTAAAAACTGATTGAAAACCATCATTGCTTTAGAAATATTTCTCATTGAAAGACCAGCCTGTTTGTTTCCTAGGGAGGTCGATACAACTGTAAATTAGAATCGGATGAAATTATACATATTGATCAAGTGCTCTTGTACGGCAAAGAAAAGCGTCACTTAACGTGTAAGACATTAACCGTGAATGAGTTGAAACCTTCCAGAATAAGGCAACAGATTAAAACCTTCTACTTAGACAATCTGCAACTCGCAACGAAAATCGAATCATGTAATCATATGACAAATGAGAATCCCAGGTTCTCCAGACTTTACCAGGCGGTAGACTGCCTTGTCCACATTATATTTATTTACATACAGATCATGCATGTAGTATCTATATTTATGTATATTCAAGTCATGCATGTGCACATTATAGCAAAACACTTTCCCAATTTCGCTAATGCGATGATAATCGCGTCGGGATTATCCGCACGCTGATACGTTATCGGCAAACATATTCGGGAACGGCGGAAGATTACGCGTTATCAACGACGGGACGCTCTTGCTGTGCAAACAACAATTGCTCGGGACATTGTTTATAATCAGTGCGGCCGCGTCCCGCGGGAGGAAAAATCGTCCCTCCGCGGGTGAACTGAAGATTCGTCGGAGTCGAAAGTTGGACCACTCACGAGCCGAGCCGGCCAACTCTTTGGAGGGTATCGCCTTTCAAAAACATCTTCTCGCCACTGACCACACGAGCGTCTCCGTGGCTTACGTGCACTTACATTCGCGAGGTAGTCGTCGTTACAAACGAAGTACGCCCTGTTGAAGATCATAGTCGGCGCGAGAGCCGAGTGCGAAGTAGTGCCCAGGTCGTACCGGAGGCTCCTCGACCTTTTACCGAATTACTCGACCGCTTCTTCCCCGGGTACTCAAACAATCCCCAAGTTCACCACATACCGCTCTTCAGCCCGGACTCGACACCCTCCGCGACCACCCCGTCACCCCATCATTCACTTCCACCGCGAGGAAACCGGGGAGCCACTCGCGGGGGTCTTCGACGAGACAAGACGTCCGTACCGTTTTGTTTCGACGGTGCAATTAAACCGCCGGATAATCGCCGCCTTATCGCGACTCGAGTGTCCTTTCTCGGTCCTTAGAGGGTTCACTCGACCGTTCCGAGGATGAGGTACCAGCTGATGCCGCTCGTTTCCGCCAGTTCCCGCGTTCGTCGGCGTGAGACGCGAAGCTGAATCGAAGGAACAAGACAGTGCGAACGTCGTTTTTTCGGGCCTGAGAGATCCAGCGTGGTGGGAATGTAATGATAACGCGAGCTCGACCATAACGAGGATTTCGGAGGGATCGAGACGGCGATCAGGCTCGGCGGAACTAAAGCGGCATTCCGGTTTCCCCGCGGAAGTTCGCGCGCTGGCCGACGCACTCGGAGGCCCCGTCGGCCGTTCGATTCTCCGCCGTGTTCCTTCGCGAGCTGTATTCCCCAACAAACCAGGCAACAATGCAACTATGCGTGTGTGCATGCGGGCGCAAACTGAACGACGACGACTACGTCTCGTAGGTGTCTACGTTCGAGCCTCAGCGGGAATATTTGGTGAAATTTGGCAACGGTCAAAAACCAGCTATTTTAAGCGCCGCCAGGCCGCGTCGACAGGGCGAAGTACTATTGTTTATTGCCGAATAAGCTGCGATCTTTCACCGGACGACCGACACGGCAAATACGTAGCGGGCGCGTGTTAATTTCCGGGATATTCGTTCTCGCCCCTTTACTCATTATTATGTAAGGTCAGGCGCGGGGATTTTCGCGCGCGAAAATACATTTGGCGGAGGACGCTGCCGCATCATAATTTCCTCCGTCGTCCACTTACCAGCCGGCCGCTCTTTGCGCTTTTTCGACGAGACGCCGTCGAGATCGTCGAGACCGCCTCCCCGAGCGGCGTCCCCGACCTGTTAATTCTTTGCGTGACTCGGAAATCGAGATGTCGGTGAATCTACCTCGCGTCGTGTCCGGGAGAGACAGTTCGAAGGGAAAAAGAGGAAAGAAGAAGAAACATTGTGAAGTGGCGAGTCACAACGTCAATGATCTCGGGCGTGACTGACTGACAGGTGATAGCTGCTTTTGGCAGCGACGCATCGTGAAATTTGTTGTTCGTTCACAGATATATGACGGACACGCATTCGCGTAGCGAGCCGACGGATCCGAGAACGCTACCCCGAGCCGAAATGTTGGTGTAAGTGTTTAATTCTGCAGCACATTAGGAGCTAAAATAGGCACGATGGGTTTAATTCCAATTCTAATAATATAATTTTCTCCTACTTTGACACCGATGATGTATTAAATCTTCATCTCCGCTGCCTCAACGTCAAGATAGATCGTTTATGGTAGCGTCGAAATTAAATCTGTAGGATCGAAGGTTCGAGGAAGAAATTCATCGGTATCGTCGACACAAGGTTTTATTAGTGTATAAGCCATCCAAGCAGGCGCAAATTATCTTCAAGGATCACCTATTAATTGCGACTCGGGGCGCGCTTATTTCAGAACGTCCCGACGGGTATTTGCGCGTTACAAAGGCGGATCAGCCGAAAAACTGTTGCGATTAAAACGATCGCAGTTTTTGCGAGAAAAAAATGTGCGTAAAGATCCTGAGACTTGATTATCCGACTTCTGTTTTTTCTCAAAGCTTATCTCGTGGGAATCCTCTTGTCTGACAGTCGCGTGCACTTCGATTCTCGCATACGTCCAACGTCCTGGACGGCGGCGATAATGCTAATGAGACAGCAACAGGCGTGCTTTAATCACGTGAGCGACGCGAACTATTTAAATATGAAAACATCGCGTATAACACACATGGACGTCAGACGACTTCGATCGTCTAGATTGGAACGGACAACACCTGAGCGCGTCTGTGTGCGCGATTGTGTGACGTAAAACGGTGACGTGACTATGTTCTCACTGAGCAAACGGCCTCTAATTCAATTTCAGTAATTGGACTCGCTCGATCGGGGCCGATACGGACCGATGAGTCGGAAAATAAACATTTCATAAATTTCACCTGTCAGAATGCGGACAGATAATTTCGCAAATTGTTACAATTCGTATATATGTGTGCGTGCGTGTCGTAACTGTTTTTATCATTTTAATACGATAATGCGTGCAATCAACGTTACTATTTGTCACTCTTGACAATTAAATTACAGTGACCGTTGCATGTGTGCCCGTCGCGCTTAAAAGTTCCAACGGAGCAAAGAAGCACTCGATCTAGACGGTGCATAGCTGCACCCGGAAGCGCATCAAGAGAGTTCAACCTGTGCTGTAATGTACGTATGTGCATGCATATTGCATACATATATGTATATATATGTATGTAAACACACGTACGTGAATAAATGTGTGTGTGCATGCGTATGTGTGTAATATGGTAACACGAGGATCTCTTTATGCTGGTCACGCGTGCTAGATAAGCATAACGAGTCCTCAAGAACTCATTCACGCGCATAAAAGCGTTACTCGGGAGGACGTTACTGCAAAGATCGCGTACTCCTTTTACGTCATCAACTATTCCGTGAATTGATACGCGAGTGCGGAATGCGGCACGCGACGCGGTGAACCGTCGATCGCAAGTGTATCACCTGTTATTCATCTCAGGCACATTGCAGGAGAGACGTAAATCCAAGATCTTGCGCTACCATACTGAAAAGGAGGATCTGGCAATAAGTACTAAAATGTTGATGAATACTTACCGAACAAATATTTAATTATTGCAAACAAATTGATTATTGCACGACACGGAAATCAATTATTCGTTTGCAGTAATCGAATCGGCAAATATTCACCAAATTTTGGTATTTATTCCTAAATCTTTTTTTCAGTACGGATGCTAAAAAGAGAGGGGGAGGGCGGGGG